AGACAACATGATCTTTTATTTAATTTCATCGAAAAATATGGTGAAGATAAAATTGATGGTATTTTAGTTGGTAATGAAGGTACTTTTCAATTTTTTATATATTTTATATACAAAAAAAAAATTTATATTAGGTCTAAACTAAATAATTATTAAAATATTATCTCATATTTATTTTGGTAGTTATCCTTCGTAACGACATTCCTATACAAAATTTGTCTGATCGCATCTTGGATGTCAAATCAAAGATAAATTCGATGGGCTTTAACAAAACAATGCCTGTTTCCACTTCTGATATTTTTTCAAATAATAATATTACCTTTATAAATGCTGTAGATGCAGTGTGGGATAATATTCATCCATATTGGTATGCAGTTAATATAACCGAATCTGCATCATGGGTATTTAATACCTATAATGAATCTGTCGTCCCACTTGCAGAAAATGCTAGTAAAGACTCTGTTATATCTGAAGTTGGTTGGCCGACTGACGGCAATGCACAAGGTCCTTCTGTTCCTAGTGTTCAGAATTTACAAATATTTTTAGATACTTTTATTTGTTCAGCTAATTTAAAAGGTATTAAGTATTACTATTTTGAAGCTTTTGATATTCCTTGGAAGAAGGCAATTGGTCTAGTGGAAGGAAGTTGGGGATTATTTTATCCTGATAGAACCATGAAACCCATTATTCTTCCAGATTGTGTTGTTTAAACTTTATTCATTTTCAAAATAACTTTAATATTTAATATACATGTAATGTTATAAGGCAAGGTATTTATGTTGATTTCAAAATGGCACATGTGATTTAAAGATTGCAATTGAATATATGTAAATAATTATCGGTATAATAATACCGATACATAATTTATAAAAAATTTTTAAAAATAAAAAAAAATAAAAAAATAAATAACGTATTAAATAGTCGAGAAATAAAATATGGGGAATTTACAAATAAGGGCCCGGAAAGTGAAAATAATTACAAATACGAGCCCAAATTAAAAATAATTACATCTAAGAGC